TTAAACCAATTTGTTATTAGTATGAACAATTTTTGACTTTTTTTTTAAGTTGGTAAGAAGATAAAAATGTATATTTAGATACTCCTCATTCTAAAGATGGGGACTGTGAGGTCTGGTGGGGCATCTGTAGGGTAGTAAGGAGTAAGTAGTTAGAGAAACATATCGAAAGTGAATGCGACTAAATAAAGAATACGAAAAAATTTGTGACTTTTCTAATTATTTCATATTCCACTTTTCAAAAAGAAACATTTGTAAAAACTTACGTAAAGTTAAGATGCTAATTCAAAGATAGTATTTAAGTCCTTAAGTTAGCTTTGTTTTGTTTTTAAGTCACAAAAACAACCTTGGTAACATAATTTTGTAGTTGAGTTAACAATTTAATATTTTTAACTTAATATATATAATAATAATAATTTATTAGATAATCAAATATAATTATATTAAATACTTAAATCTCTTCTTCCTATTATTATTATTACTATTAATGATCGAATCAATATAAATAAAATTTAAAAATAGTATTAATTATTCAAGCTTTTATAACGTTTCCATTTTCAGTAAAGAACATGTCTGTTTAACTGAATGCCTAAGTCCGTTACAATTAGTTGAGCGAACTATACTTAATATTTTATTTAAATTATATATCTTATAATAAAATATAATTACAAATAACAATATACATAATTTAAATATATAGTTAGACAATACAAAGAAAACTAGATCATAGTTAAACACTAACCAGATAAAGAAAATTCCATAAAAAAATGTATATATAATATGTGTAGCAATAATATTTTCATTATTATATATGTTATTCTTTTAAATACATCCATAAATAATAACTACTTTTTCCTATCATTTCACCTTTCTATTTGTAACTAATTTTCCAATTCTTCACCATTTAACCTGTATATTTTTTATCTTCTTCAATTATTTTATCGATACAAAGAAACATAAAATGCCTCTTTCAAAAATATTCTCTTGTATTTTTTTCTCATTTTTTATTTCTACTTCAACTAATTAAAAAAAATCTAAAAAAACACACTAACAATAACAATAACAAAAAGAAAAAGCAAAAAACAACACAAACCAAACAAGAGGCTCACACAAAGACACATGGTGGTGCAGGTACTTAATATTATAATTATAATTACAAAAGATATTTTCTCATAATATAAAATAAAACTTTTTTCTCATAACCAGTATACATAGGAAAAATATTAATGCATTTTCAAAATATAAGAAACATATTACCATGTTATAACACATTAACTACTAATTTTAATTTACATCCATATTTTATATTAATTTTATTAACCATGTAAATCACATTAATGAGTGGTTTTTTATTTATACAAGCATTAATTTTTTTAACATTTACAGAATAAAAATTAGGCAAAATATTTTTGTATTATGTTGGAAACTAAGTGACTTATTTAGCATAATAACCTAATTAGCAATTGCATTTAGGTTGGTTAAGCCCTATAATCTACTCTCTCTTTATTCTGTAGGTGACTTAACTGTCTGCTCAAGCTTCCTTTGGTTTGGATTGTTTTGATAGTTTCCTTGTCTTCTCACTTTCCTATTTTCCATTCTTCCTCTTCTTTTCCTCTCTCTTCATTATTCTTCCCCTCTTTTTGGGTCCTAATAATTAATTTCCCTTCTATATCTCTCCCTCTTCCTAATTTCTATTTTCTCACTATTTATAACCATATTTTTTCCTTTCTCCTTTTCTCCCTTTCGCTTCCCCCAAAAAACCAGACAAATATCGAAGCAAGGGGAACAACCGCATTCTTCCCTTTCCTTTTTCCATCTCCCAATTCTCTTGCCCTAGATTTTTCCCCTTTTCTCTGCACACCGATTATTGCCTTCTTGATTCTTCTTTCCCTTAGGTTTCCTCGATGCAGTCGGAGGATGACATGCACGACGCCAACGACATCGATTCCCTCGACGACGATTTCTACAGCGGCGAAACCGAGGATGCGCCCTTGGACTACTACAGCGATTACGACGATGAGGCCGATGATTACTTCGAAGAAGCTGACAGGATTGAGTCTCGTCGCCCTGAGGTCCCTCCCTCCCTCCCTCTCTCTCTCTCTCCTCTTTTCTTTCAATGCGAGAATCTTGTCTATCTTGATCACTTTGATTTTTTGGTTTTTTATATGGTTAACGGACGTAGATAACTTACTAGCCAATCAATATTGTTTTTGCTACAATAAAATGTCTGAAATTGTGATTTTGGAAATTGAAATGTCGATTTTCACGGCTCTGTATTGTGAGCTGATGTAGTATTTTTGTGATTTTGGAGAATAAATTGATCGATGTTCTTCCCAGTTTCATGACTATTAGGGAAATTGGGAGTGCAATTTGTAGTTTTTGGACTAGGTCAGTGTATTACTTGTTCAGTAATGGCGTGACAGAAATGTATGCTCAACTCTGCTTCACTGATTATTTTCTTCTTGTATATTGAGAGAAGAGGAGGTTGGTTTCAATTGGTAGATGATTTTCTTATTTCTAAGGTTCTTTTCCGCATATTCATGAAAAAAATGCATTTTTTTCGTTTGTCCTTTCTTGGTTTGGCATGGATCGAGGCTGAGTTCTACAATCTCCAGTTCAAAAAGCTGTGTTATTACCGGAGGCTCCCCTCTCTTTTTTTTTTCGCAATGATATATCAGTTTCCCACTAATTTTTAGATTTCGGTTTTCATTTCAGCAAAATTTTACCATTTTGAAGGAATCCGACATCAAACAAAGACAGGAAGAAGATGTCACTAGAGTAGCAACTGTTCTTTCCATATCAAGAATTTTTGCAAGCATACTACTTCGTTACTACAATTGGTAATTCAGTTTGTGTTAGTCCTCATTGGGGTACCTTTTTTTGTCGCTGTATTAACTGATCATACCTTCTTCGATTGTTCCAAACGTTCATTTCTGCACTATGTTTGTATATGTTAGATTTTCACTGCATTGTATATTAATATACTCAAGAGAGGAGTTGGTGTTGCAGGAGTGTCAGTAGAGTGCATGATGCATGGTTTGCTGATGAAGAACAAGTCAGAAAATCAGTTGGTTTGTTGGAGAAGCCAATTGTCCAGTATGATAATAATACTAGAGAGGTGAGATATGGATGCATGAGTTTCAAATAGGTCCTTTTTGAAGTCTCAGTGTTAGACATGTTTGTAACAAATACTGCCCACATGTTTAAGACACTTTTCATTTGGTGGCCAGTTAGCTTTTGTTTTGGTGATTCAGACACCTTAGCCAACACCTTTCTCACTAATTTCCCTTATAAATTGTTACATCTTTTTAACTTTTAGAAAAGTTAGCTTGAGATACAACAGAAAATATTAAAAAATAATGGCTCTAAGTTTTTATTATTGGTTAAGCTCACTATATAAAAAAGTGTAAAACATAGTAAGTTGTTTGAGAAAGTAAGTTTACCTCTTTTATAAGAGATTTCATATTGTTTATGGATTTTTATAAAGAGACCAAGTGCTTACCTTGTAAAATGATGTCTCTTGATATTTTATTTGATGCTCGTTATAGGAAAATGGTAATTATACAAGAATTACTGTATTATTTATCAATTTAGATACTTTTTTTGTTCATCTTGGTTATATTTCATTTCATTTGAGTATTTTTCTGTCGTCTCATGATGTGTGTATGATGCCCTAGTCCTATATTTTGGGAATTTGTTGCATTGGGTTGGGCAGTCTGTGTTGAGTCAAGTGGCCATGGCAGAGTCTGAGGCTATGAGCCTTATAGGTTTTAGTCTTGGTCAATTAGTTGTTGGATTTGATTTCATTTTCTCCTTTTTCTTTGGCTCTGTTTGTATTTAACTATTTTTATTTTCATTTTTCTGTGGCCAGCTTACTTGCGGTATCTGTTTTGAAAATTATCCTCGGGCTAGAATTGAAATGGCTTCCTGTGGTCATCCCTACTGTATCTCATGCTGGGAAGGTGCTTCTTGTGTGATATTACTCTGACCCTTTTGTGATCTCAGATATAATGTAGCATCTAGTGATAAAACGCATTTTGGCTTTGGTTACAATTTTCTTTATTTTTTTTTAATTGTGTGGATGGGTGTGGGCAGTGGCAGGCAGCTTAGAAGATTTACTGTATATATTGTTTAATGTCCTTCTGTTGTCATTTTTCTTTTTCTATCATATCACGATCTTCTGTGCTTTTTGACATGCTAGGCTATATCAGCACATCCATTAGTGATGGTCCCGGATGTTTGATGCTGAGATGTCCTGATCCCACTTGTGGTGCTGCTGTCGGTCAAGATATGATTAGTCTTCTAAAATCTGATGAAGATAAGCAGAAATATGCACGTTATCTTCTTAGGTCATACATTGAAGACAATAAGAAGGTGTGTCCTAGATATGGAATTATGAAGTGGATAGTGAGTGAAGGGGATATTCACTTTCTTTTGTACCGTCGACTATGTTTTTCTGATTCATTTTCATAACATGTTCACAATTGTGTCCATGTTTAATAAAGTGTTTGGCGTATTTATGTTACTCTAGCTAAACACAAGAGCCTGATTATCTCAGTATTTTTTTACGAAAAATCAGTTCAGAAGTTTTGGGTTGTTTGTTTAAATCTTTTTAGAAAAAAAAAATAAAACAGAATTTGAAAAGAAAACTTAAATTTCTGATTATTTTGAGAAGCTGTTTCGAGTTGTAGTTACAAGTTTATAATTGCCTGTTCATCAACAGTATGCTTTCTAGTTGTAACGGAATGGAAGAAAACTTCTGTTTTTTGTAAAATCTCTCTTTTATACATTCCTGAAAGAACTTCCCAAAGGTTTAACAAACGGACCCTAAATTTATAAATTATGTAGTTAATGGTTCACTATTTATCTACTGTGATAATATTCAACTCTACTTTTCTTAATCATTATTAATATATATCTTCCATTGTATGATTGTCGTAATAATTTTATTGGTTTTCTTTGTTCTGTCCAGTCCAAGTGGTGTCCTGCTCCAGGGTGTGAATGTGCTGTCACTTTTGATGCTGGTAGTGTTGGGAATTACGATGTCTCTTGCCTCTGTTCATATAGTTTTTGTTGGAATGTACGTTGTGTATAGATTTTTCAGATTTTCATAGTTTTGAGTTTTAGATTTTATTTATTTATTTAGCCAACTGATGTGTAATTGGATCGACAGTGCACTGAGGAGGCTCATCGTCCAGTAGACTGTGGGACTGTGGCAAAGTGGATTTTGAAGAACAGTGCAGAATCTGAAAACATGAATTGGTAGAGATTTCTGAGTTTTGATAACAATTTTTTTAGTAGTTTAAATAATGTGATGCTCTCTAGAACTATAGATATCTAATTTCAAAAAAATGGACACTTTTAATGTAGAGTATTTTGAGGGGTGAAAGTTGTCACAAATTTTATGCTTGAAGCAGGTTATATGATGGCTAAGGGGTGTGATTCCATCAATTGAAGGAGAGAAAGAAATAAAATACACAATAGTGTTTACTTAATATATGGGTTTTCCTTGCAAATTGTCCAGAACAATTCATAATGTGTGGACTATTAGGAATTGGGATCGTATATGGGTAATGTTTAACGAACCACAGAGACTCTCCTAATATCCACCTGTCACATGAGGTTAATGGTTAAATATGATTGTATACAGCTGTCAATTTGTGCTTGTGACACTAATGGTTAAATATGTCTTGTAAGTAGTTAAAAATGTGTTCAGGTTATTGAAATGCTTAACTTTACCTCACAAGTGCCTTGAAAGTAAATGAGTTTGTATGTGATTATTAACATGTACTTGTGATACTAATGGTTAAATAATCTTCTTCACAAGTGGTTAGTTGTGTAATGGTTAAAGTGGTTAACTGTCTGGGTGGACAATTTCCAACGGGATGAGTATAGTTTTTCATCTCCTTCATGATCCTCGAATTTCCTCTATGTGCTACATTTATGTAACTAGTTAAGAAACCAGTGCTTTTTTGGGTATTTGAGACCTCATAGATTAAGCTTTCTGTTGATATGATGAATTTCAGGATACTTGCTAATTCAAAGCCATGTCCCAAGTGCAAGCGACCAATTGAAAAAAATCAAGGGTGCATGCACATGACTTGCACACCGCCCTGTAAATATGAGTTTTGCTGGTATGCATTCTCTTCCCTTTTCCCCCTTTATAATTAACTAATTACATGCTTCATTCTTTTTCCCCTTCTAAGCATTCGACAAAAAACAAGGGTATTTTGGATAGTTGAGACTTGAGAGAACCTGTGCTTTTTGTTGATAGAATAAATTTTAGGACACTTGACAATTTAAAGCATTTTTTTTATTATCATTTTTGTTGAAGGTTGGATCATGAAAACAGTGGTGGTGTTTATTTTCTTACTGGGGAAGAGATATAAATTTAAATAGTGAGGGGGGCCTTGTTTTCAAATGGTTTGAGCATATATGAATTTAAAATATTTTATCTACACAGGCTATGCCTTGGTGTATGGTCAGACCACGGTGAAAGAACTGGGGGTTTTTATGCTTGCAATCGCTATGAAACAGCTAAACAAGAAGGAGTGGTAAGGGACATAATAGTACACTACTCCCAATTCAGGTTTCTGGCTATAATTAGCTCACTGTTCCCTCCACATTTATTGGGATGATGGTATTTGCTTATGAGTTAAATTTTGTTCTGTGTAGTATGATGATACTGAAAGAAGAAGGGAAATGGCAAAGAATTCACTGGAGAGATACACACATTATTATGAGCGGTGGGCCAGCAATCAATCTGTATGCACCACTTACTGTTCAGTAGTCGCGTTCTAGGGATTTGACTTCAGCAATTTCTGAATTTATTCTTCCATAATTTATATTTTGCTTGTATTTCTGCAATCTTGAGAGCTAAATTATTAGTCCAGTGTTATTTCAGTATGTTATGCTTTATTTGTCATAATCTTCGTATTATGTCAATGTTGGATTGTTGGATTGTTGGATATTTAGATTAAAAAAGAAACCTATCAATTTTACCTACCTAACTACTTAAGCTTTTTGGAATATCAGTTTCTTAGTGTCTGTAGCCAAATCATCTAAAGTTCCATCCTCAGTGTTCTCTTTCAACTAAAAAGAAGTTAAATTTCAGCATTAGATAGGCGGGTTTATGCATTTTCTATGCTTCAAATCTAACTGAAGTTGTCTTGGGTGATTGGTTATGTTAGAGATGTAATACCAAAAAGACATCTGCTGTCCTTGACAGTGTTGTGCCTCTGACTTAATGAGGAGTGTTTTAAGAGGCTTTTAGTTTGTATGAAGAAGACTGCTAGCTGGATAATTTTAAGTGGTTTATACTTTATATGCTACGGACATTGATTTGTTCTCCATTCTCTACTTTAAGCTGTATTCTGTAGTATTGTTACTTTATCTGGGTATATGCATCTTAAACCCAAGAATATTTCTTACGTGATTATAAGTATTAATATAACAGTGCAATATGCTTTTTCTTGTGTACAGTCAAGGCAAAAAGCTCTTGCAGATCTGCAGCAGATGCAAACTGTTCATGTAAGTTATGTATATCTGTCATCTTCAGCCATATTGTTTGTAAAAAAAATTCTTAGCTTGCATGTAATTTTGGCACTTCACGTAGCATGGAGCCTTCACATTAGGTGCGTTAGAATGTAAGTTTTGGCAACTGAAAAAACATTGTTTGCACTTTTAATATATATGTTTTCATGAATATGCACTCTCTAACACAGTACTGTAGTAGCTCACTTTTCCATGTCATAAGCCTAAATCTATCTATAATATTTTTCTGTTATTTGCTCACAAGTCCTCTCTTTATTTTTGGCTTGCAGATTGAGAAGCTTAGTGACATACAGTGTCAGCCTGAGTCACAGCTTAAGTTTATTACGGAGGCCTGGCTACAAGTAATTTATTGTTTTTTTAATGTTTTGTTCAGTTTGATTTGTAGTATTATCTAAAGCTTTAACAGGGTTTTGATTGTAAAATTAGACCAGTTCATCTGCCCGTGGCAGATAGTTTCAAATGCTTCAGCTAGTCATTAAACATTTCAACAATTTTCTGAAACTGGTGATTTTGTGAGAACTTTTAGTGCTAGTAATCTTTTTACATTTTTCTTTGTTATTATTAGAACTGTAGGGAAATTCAATGTCAGCAGCCCCATTATTTCATAAAATTCATTTTGGGGGTGAAATAGATGGCTTCCTTCCTAGTAAGTGTTTCAATTTTTTCAGATAATTGAATGTAGAAGAGTACTGAAATGGACATACGCATACGGGTTCTACTTACCCGAGCATGAGCTTGCGAAAAAACAGTTCTTTGAGTACTTACAAGGTTCTATTTTTCAACTTGAATTTAGTTATAAATGTTTGTTCTGATTCCTCTGTAAAACATACTCAACTATAATTTGTTTTCAGGTGAAGCAGAATCTGGCCTGGAGAGACTTCATCAATGTGCAGAAAAGGAACTTCAGCCATTCCTATGTGCTGATGAGCCATCTAGAGAATTCAATGACTTTCGTACTAAACTAGCTGGATTGACTAGGTATATATTAAATATGTTTTGTTAAGCATTTGCCTTGAATTCGGGTTTTTATTTATTCATGATCTGTTTGGCTAAAGATTCATTTTCTGGTACAAATGTTTTGACAGTGTGACTAGAAACTACTTTGAGAATTTGGTAAGGGCGTTAGAGAATGGTTTATCTGACGTGGATAGTAATGGAGCTTCCTTCAGCAGAGCAACGAGTTCAAAAAATGCTGCTGGTAGCAGTAAAGGGAGATCCGGAAGAGTAAAGGGAACTTTTCGAACCAGCATGTCCAGCAGAATGAATGATGATAGTCATTGGTGTTGCGAGCATTGTACCTATGCAAATGTCAAATCTGCCACAACATGCCAGATGTGCTATCAACAGCGTAGATGAAAAATCCGTTCAACATTTCAAACATTTGTGTCCTGCCCAATACCTTTTCGCCAGAAGCTTTGATGGAGTTATTCCTCAATTTGTCTTAACATATGCGGTCTCTCCGTTTTATGAGGCTCTTTAACTATGTGAACAGGATGAAATGAGTTAGGCAGAAGAAAAATTACCCTCCTATTCAATACAGCCCCAATTTGATGTATATAATGTTCTATCTTATTTACTTAACGAGGTTTTCTACTACAGCCATTTGTAACTGAACATCGTAACACTTGCTGGAGATGAACACAAATATGTTTGTTTGTGCCCACCCTTTCAGGTGGTCTCTTGGCAGCTTCCAAGATACCTAGGGTTAGTCATGTGTAATAAGCTGAGTTTGATAACATTCTAAGAAATGATCAGGGACTACAATAAATGTTATACAGTATCACTTTAAATTTATGGCACCTTTGCGAACTCTTGTGGCTGTCATGTTTGATGTATGATGTATATCCAAACTAAGTCCGACCCAAAGTCGATGTGGTGCTACTGATGTTTGTATTCCCTTTTATGTAGGACGAGTATAAAATGTTAATAAAAACTGAATCGATTCGTTACTTCGAAGTTTAACGGTTAAATGTGTGGAGATTCTGTGATGTACTGTCAATTAAAAATTGGGTTAAACAACATAGCAGAAAACTAACAGGTGCGGTTAAAAACATCAAACTAACCATCTTGAAAACGGGGCTAAACATCATTGAGAAAGATGCTTATCAACCACCCTGTACATAATTACACTGATAAACCCTATATATAGAATTGCAATTATTTGCATCCTGGTCCAACCGATGGTCACCTTGGACAGTGGTCCCTGTTTGTTGGGGGAATGGGGCCATTGTGAACAGCAACACTAACAAAAAAACAGGGCCAAATGCTAACGTGAAGCACACTAATTTGATGTGGACTCCCTAACGTGCATTTTTATGACTTATATTCCATCTGTCTAGCAGCAGATTCTTACAGAGCACCGGGAAGAACCCTTCTGTATCAGAAATTAATATGGACACCACTGATAGCTTAACCAAGCATCTCCTATAGATATCCAATGCAACCACCTTCTTTTCACTCCGGTGCTAAAATCTCCAGGAATTCTTAGCTCACCCATGTGACCAAATACTCTATGAAATTACAAATAAATGTTCTCATTTTGTATATTTTTCTCATATACTTAGAATTATATGATCAATTATTTTATTATTATTGTTGTTGTTCACCTTTGCTGATCTACCATTGTCCTTTAAGTAGCAATTCAAGACCCCTAAAGCTAGCTTCACACAGTGGAACCAACATTCCCTACTCACCTAAACTAATGTAATTATTTTCATATATGTGTTCTCTCTAAAAATAAAATGATATTTTAAGAAGACTGTCGAATCGAATCTTTTTTAGATCACTAGACCACCAGACCAGCCAACATAGCACAACGTTTCAATGATAGTAACCATCTCCAACAGGCTAGTTCGTAATTAAAAAATGAAGAATTTCAAAATTGATTTTGCTGAAAACTTTAAAATGGGAACCTATTTGTGAAAGATACAAAATTTAAGGTTAGTTATTGTAGACTCTTCTTTGCTATTATTGTCATACGAAAGTTGAAAACAGAAAAAATAAAGGTTTATTTAGGAAATACTTCAGTTGAATCTAATCCACATTTTTTCAGTTCAATCATGTTCTTCGTTTGGTGTATTGGAAAGTTTAAAAATACATTTGGCGATTCCGAATGTCAGTTGTCTACGCCACTAAAATGTGTTTGGATTCCCTGCTACATTAGAATAGTAAAATAATCTATTAACTACACTGTGTTACATAACATGCAGCTCACCACACTTAACTGGGCTTCTCTATAAAAAGCATTACAAACATCAATTCATCACAAGCAAGCTGAATTCGATGTGGTGAAATACATCTCATATAATTGGTGTGGTCAAATAAACCATTTTTGCTGCACAAATATTTACTGTACATCTAATATCATATCTAAAACTTTCTTTGTTTTTACGCGTAATTGGAAAATCTTGATGTATAATGGAGGAAAAAACTCGACACCGCCTCTAACCAAAATGTCACTATTTCTGCATTTCATTTCTTATAATGTCCCATTTCCAAGACAAATTCCAATATCAGTTGATGATTTTCTGATTTCCACAACAATTAACCAATGAAAAAAAATGAAGTTAACAGAGATTACAACATGACAAGAGCTCATTTCTCTCTCCATGCTGGCTTCCATTGAGCAACCAAACTGTACACAGCTCAAAATATCACAGAAGGTCGCTTAATATATGATGTGATGTGAGTTTAGACCTGTTTCAGGATGCATTTAACTGAGAACTTTGGCCTACCCCTCATGAAATATAGTTGGTTTTTACACTCTGGTAGAACTGTCTTTAAACATCTTGAAGCTTAATGCATTCAGCAATGCTCTTGAATACTGACGAGAGGCCATTTTCCAATCTCCTCCTGTCTTCATCATTGCCTTAAACTCCGCAAAACTGATTCGACCATCCTTCACCAAACAAAGCAAACAGTTAGATGCATAACCAATGTTTAAGAAAGGTGAATATTATAACTAGGACAAGTTTTACTTGATAGCAGTTCTTACCTTATCCAAGTCAACATCATTTATAATGTCTTTGATCACTTGGTCGTTCATCACTTCCGACTCATCATCTGATAAGGCATCCTTCAACTCTTCGAACTCAACATATCCGGTCTGATTCTTGTCAAAGTAACGGAATGCTTGAGTGAGATGTTCATCACCTTCGATCTTTTTGAGGTGAACACTCATTGTGATGAACTCATCATAGCTAAGGGTGCCGTTTCCATCAGCATCCGCCTGTTGTCATCATGAGCAATATAGTCAAGAGAATTTTTTGTTAAGGTTATTATGAACTTTGAAAGAGTTTTTGTATTTTCTTATCTATGTATACGATCAGAGTTCTTCTCCCACACATTTGCATGCATGCATGCCTTTTGATTTTTAGATATTGAAAATAACATGATGTGATAAGAAAAGGTGTAATAGAAGAGAAAATAGAAGTATCAAATAAGTGTTTATGCTGTTCTGATATGTTAAACACTTACAGCTTCCAGTAACATTTGGACATCAGGATCAGGAATGGCGTGTCCTATCATTGAAAGACCATCTTTGAGCTCTTCAAATGACAAGTTTCCGTTTTTGTCCTTATCCATCATATCAAACATTTTCTTAAACGCTTCAATTTGTTCATCTGACAGGTTATCCGCTACCACCTGAGGAGAACACCCATTTACGTATGCAATGCTTCTTTAAATTTAAGGTAGCAAATATTACTGACCTCTAGTTAAAGAGGCATACTCTAAAACTTACTCTAAGAACCTTTCTTTTGAATCTGTTCATCAAGGAGAATTGCTTGATCCTCATTCTCACTTGGTCTCCAAGAGAAATAGTTCGACCATGCTCCCTATTTTGTATCCAGGAATGATCTTATCAAGGAAGAACATAACTATCAGTACAGTTTTTCCATGTGATCAAATAAAAAACAATGCATTGCTTTTAAAAATATAGAGAAAACAGAATTATCTTTTGCCTGAAATCTGTAGCACATACCAAGAACTTCTTGAACTGTTATCCGTGTGAATGGACTTGGATCAAGCATGCGCTTAACTAGATGTTTTGCTTCATCAGAAACTTTAGGCCAAGGATCTCTTGTGAAATCTACTTTACCCTTAATGATCGCCTGTGCAATCCCTTCCTCGCTTTCTGTAGTAATAATCCCATCATCAGAAGGAACTCCATGAAACAATTAAACTTTCTGAAAGGAGACTTTGACTTTATTTTCTTGCTTAGTTCACATGAATGAATCAAAAGGGGACCTACCTGCCCAAAAGGGTGGAACTCCACAAAGTAAAATATAAAGAATTACACCTGTGCTCCAGACATCAATTTCTTGTCCATAGTTTCGTCTTAAAACCTCTGGAGCCATGTAATAAGGGCTTCCAACAATTTCACTGAATCGTTCACCTGTAACCAAATGGTAAAGTTTGGTTATTTATTTTGTTTGATATTAACAATGAAAAGGGCCATGCAATAATGATAGTAGTGGTAGTAGTACTCCCGTAAAATCATAAAGTAAACTATACCAGGCACATAGAAGGTAGAAAGGCCAAAATCAATTGATTTCAGTGCAGCATTCTCGCTTGCATCTGCAAATAAGAAATTTTCAGGTTTCAAGTCTCTGTGTATTACTCCGTGCTCATGACACACCTGCAAAATGTACCCAAAAAAGGCTTATACACTAATGGGAGATAAACAGAAAAAAAGAAATAAGATCGCAAGTTCTAGTTTTAGCTTCCAAGAAAGAAAGAAAAAAACAGGACAAAATAGCATGACACTTCCAGAAATCATGCTCATGAAATACTCACATTCAAGTTCAAGTATTCCCCACTCTGCGAAAGTGCATGCATGTCTGCACAAAAACTGAAGTGTTTCTTTCTTTAACTTCGTTATTTATGCAAGAATAGTTGAACTTTGCACCAATCCCTTAACCCCTTTTTAATTGAAACAATTAAAACAATCTTTTTATCGCTTTTCCCTCTCTAGGCGTCCAAAGATAATTTCCTGCTTCTAATTGTATTTTATCTTATTCAGTTATATTTCTAAAGCAAACAAAAAACCCATATGTTGCACTTTGTCTCAACACACCGAAGAAAACGCAGCCTATCTCACAAAGTACATGCAAGAAATTATTACACGGTGCAAATGATATGACAATTAAACCAAGTTCTTCAATTTATACGAATATAATAAAACTGCAACATGCGTGACGTGAAATCATGAATGGTGATCCTCATCATGCATACGTAATTAGTTTTCATTTCCATTCCAATGCAAAAAACCAAGATTCAGAAAAAAAGACAACATAGAAAAGAACGAAAGGGGAGGTAGGTACCTTGCAAACTTCAAGTATGGTTTTGGCAACATTAGCAGCAGCACGCTCTGTGTAATGGCCCTTAGCAACAATCCTATCAAAGAGTTCGCCACCTTCACAGAGTTCCATGACGAGGTAAACGGCGTCTCTGTCCTCATAAGCCTCCTTGAAGGCCACGATGTTGGGGTGCCGAGGCAAGTGCCTCATGATCTGTACCTCTCTTTTCACATCTTCCACGTCAATCTCCGTTCTCAGCTTCGTCTTCGCTATCTTCTTGCACGCAAACGCTTCGCCGCTCACCAAATCCACCACGCGGTGAGTCACGCCGAACTCACCACGACCCAGCTCCTTCCCGAACTGGTACTTATCGAATATGTTCCCCGGACTCGGGTTCGCAACCACATTCAGCGGACGCGCCGTCACGCTCGACCTAGGCGCCACCACGCTCGACCTCCGCGTCGTCTGTTCTGGCACGTGCCCGTGTCCGTGGGCTCGGGGCGACGAGGGTTTGCTCGTGTGCTTGACCCTCTTGCGTGTCCTCACGCCTTGCGTTGAAATGCAGCTTCCCATGGATGATAGGTTTCAATAACTTGAACAACGTTGGTTTGAAACAAACGAGAAGAAGAAAAAAACGTTGTTGCGGAAAATGTTCGGTTTTGGATTATACAATAGGAATGATAAGAAAAAGAATAGCAATATCGTATGCGTTTGTAGTAATGTATGATAATCCAAAGGGGTTGTGATGATTTTAAGTTACGTTGTGTTACCCAATCTCCATGGGAAGACAAGAGAAACGTAGGAGATTGGGAATTGTAAATTGCAAATGGTGAGAAATGGAGAATAGGAATGAGAAGATATTGCTATATTTGGATTTCAGGCATTGATTTTTGAGTTGGAAAATTGAGAACCGCCATTTTCTTAGGGCTGTTATTTCTTTTTCACGTTTTTGGTCAAGAAAAGGAAATGCATGCAAAACGACTACGTACAACGGAATATTCTCTTCCAGCTTCTTCTGCACATCATTTTCATCATCAGTTCTCCTTATTTTTGCTTAGGGTTTATTTGGATGTTCCTTTACCAAAAATAATTAACATAATAAAACGATAATCAATAATTACTTTATATAAATAAATGAAATGGAAAGTGGATTCAATAATTAGATTCTTAGACAATTAATTTATTCCCAACTCTTCTGCTACACACGTAATAAGTTTTTATTTAAAAATCGACATCAAAATAATTTAAATATATTTTTTCCATATATATATATATATTGCTCACTATTTATTTTTACACAGTAAAATTTTTAATCTACTTTAAATTCCTAACAATCTTTCTCAGAGTGTTTCTAATTATTTTAGTGGTAACCATTCATCTACTTAAAACTATACTTATAAAAGTTTGTTAGCAGAATTACTCAACAACTTTGGTACCACTAGATTTTTTTAGGATAGATATTAGGAGATTTGTTATCAACTAACAAGTTCATATAAAAGATTAGTACACATCTCTCGATCTAATGAATCATTTTACTTATATACATTATTTTTTGTCATTTTATTAATATATAATATTCATTTTTAATCAGAATGAAACATTCTAACTCACGTTACAATTGAAGGTTATTTGACACACTTAAATATTTTATATTCTACTTATTTACTTTTTATTCTTTTTTTTAAACAATACAAAAGTTTACATTTTTTTTACCATTTTATTCTTGTAACATGTGTCAAATGAATGTAAAAGTGTGTTATGATTTCATTACTCTTCTTAATAATCTTCTCTCTAGTATCTTAGTGGCAACAAACACTTAGGGTTGTTTTTTTCAAAAAAGAAAATCAAAGTATTTATGAATTGGTTAAGTTTAATATCATTTTTATAGTGGAACTAAATTTTTTCATAAAATGATTTGATAAAACTGTTTCTTTCATTCCATCTAGTATTGTTTATCGTCTGGTCCTCTATTTATGATGCATGAAGTCGTTTTCTGGTTTTGCATGTTTCATCTGCTTGTTTTGTCTACTATAGTTGTGAAATTCATCTATAAAGGATCTACTGAAATTTTGTAACTCATCCCAAATAGTTCTTAATTTTGGTTTTTTTTTATGTCATATGCATGCTTTATAAGGAATACTTAAGGAGTAGAGAAATATTATCATTCTTTCAATGAAAAAAAAATATAATTTTATTATAAAAACTAAATGATCTAATAGGAAGTAATAAATTAATATAATATTACTAAAGCTTCCATCATTTTAAATAAATTTGAGTTTATTCTAAATAAAAAGTAGTGGTTAAGAAGAAATTTCCTTATAATTAATATCATTCATTTGATAAAAAGTAATTAGTAGTGATCGATGAATGCTTCACATCAATATAAACCAATATGTAAAATATTAAGTGTGAAATTTCAAAAAATCGTAAAACATATTTCCTTTCGATGTCAAAATCTTTAACTTCCATGAAAAAATATGTTTGTGCCTCGTCTATCCATAAATTACCTATTTTATGGTTATATTCATTTATACGTAACTTGTATTAAAATTTCAAATATAGGATAAAACAATATTTAATCATCTTTCCAAATGAAACTATAAATGATTCAAAATGACATAATAATTTTTAAAATTAAGAAGGGAAAAAGTATACAAGTGAAAACAAAAAGTTCATTGGTTGTAAAATGAAGATTGTTATTTTCCTTTTGAGGCTTTTGGACAAAAACATGTAAATCAATTAGAAAATAATATTCTGTCCATGTNTTTTTTACCATTTTATTCTTGTAACATGTGTCAAATGAATGTAAAAGTGTGTTATGATTTCATTACTCTTCTTAATAATCTTCTCTCAAGTATCTTAGTGGCAACAAACACTTAGGGTTGTTTTTTTCAAAAAAGAAAATCAAAGTATTTATGAATTGGTTAAGTTTAATATCATTTTTATAGTGGAACTAAATTTTTTCATAAAATGATTTGATAAAACTGTTTCTTTCATTCCATCTAGTATTGTTTATCGTCTGGTCCTCTATTTATGATGCATGAAGTCGTTTGCTGGTTTTGCATGTTTCATCTGCTTGTTTTGTCTACTATAGTTGTGAAATTCATCTATAAAGGATCTACTGAAATTTTGTAACTCATCCCAAATAGTTCTTAATTTCGGTTTTTTTTTATGTCATATGCATGCTTTATAAGGAATACTTAAGGAGTAGAGAAATATTATCATTCTTTCAATGAAAAAAAAATATAATTTTATTATAAAAACTAAATGATCTAATAGGAAGTAATAAATTAATATAATATTACTAAAGCTTCCATCATTTTAAATAAATTTGAGTTTATTCTAAATAAAAAGTAGTGGTTAAGAAGAAATTTCCTTATAATTAATATCATTCATTTGATAAAAAGTAATTAGTAGTGATCGATGAATGCTTCACATCAATATAAACCAATATGTAAAATATTAAGTGTGAAATTTCAAAAAATCGTAAAACATATTTCCTTTCGATGTCAAAATCTTTAACTTCCATGAAAAAATATGTTTGTGCCTCGTCTATCCATAAATTACCTATTTTATGGTTATATTCATTTATACGTAACTTGTATTAAAATTTCAAATATAGGATAAAACAATATTTAATCATCTTTCCAAATGAAACTATAAATGATTCAAAATGACATAATAATTTTTAAAATTAAGAAGGGAAAAAGTATACAAGTGAAAACAAAAAGTTCATTGTAAAATGAAGATTGTTATTTTCCTTTTGAGGCATTTGGACAAAAACATGTAAATCAATTAGAAAATAATATTCTGTCCATGTTGTTTGGTTCTATGCACATGATTCAGCAGTGCCTCTGTTATCACAGTGCGGTGTCATTTGGTCGTTATTGGATACCAAAATTAGTTTTATTTTGGATTTTGATTAACAATAAATAAATAAATAAAATAAAGCACTAAAAAAAGAGGAAAATTAATACCACAAGTTTTTTTATTTGAATTAAGTACAGAAAAAAATTAGAAAGTACACAATTAGAGAAAAAAAGTTAAAAAGAACAGAAAAGCAGAGGATAACAATACAAAATATTGATGAAGAAGAAAATAAATGTTTTGTAAAAAAAAGGTGTGAGAAATCCCTGCCCCTTCTGGACTTGAAGTGAAGAATTAAAATAAAATTAATGAAATGGAAAATGGTCTGATCATAATCTTCAAGAATTAATTAATGGCCAACAATGAGTGGACCATTAAATTCACCAATGGAGTTTAACTGTGAGACATCAGCATGGCTAGTGAGAGCACAAAACTCCAAAATTTTCTCTGTTTTGTTTTTGGTTGAATTTCTAACACTACAATGCAAGTAAAAGACAGTGTTCTACCTTTTCATCTTTGCTATTTAAGTACTCTGCTCTATTCTCTCTGGGAATTTTCTTTCACCCAAATTTTTTATTTTTTTCATTTCTCTTTCTTTGATCAAACTCATAACATGTGGTGTGGTTTCCAGAGTAGAAGCAAGGTGATGGGTTTTATAAAAGCAGTTTTTTTTTTCTTCCATATGATGTTTTTTTCAGTATGCCTGAATCTGTCATGGGTTATAGTTTTCTGTCATCTAATTAAAATCCAAAGGCCAAAATCATTGCCTCACTAAAAAGTTGCTGCTGAGTGGCTTATATGATTTTCTTTCTATCTGATAATGTCTTTTGGTAGCTTTGATCCCTTTTTTGTGTGTTCCTTACATGAATGCGTTTATCAGCCAAAATGTTCAGTTCCAACACAGCCATATAAGCTTAGACCTTAGTTAACACAGCAGATCAGGCACAATTAGTTTGTGAATTATTTTCCAAATATCACACTCTTCAATTCAATGTAATTACACTATTGGGAAGTTTCTCTTCCTTTAACTTTGTGAGTTTGTTTAACTATTAGATTTAGTTACTTATTTGATGATCTTTCATAAAATCTTTATATTTCAGTCTCTACCTATGTTGAGTACTGTTAGTTTTGAAAGACAAAATTAAAGATCAAAACTTGTTAAAACTGTATGTGAACTGAGACAAGCTCAAAAGTGTACGTTAAAATCTCTAGTTTCTAAATTCAGAGATTAAAGTATAATAATTGCGTGGGAATACAATAAAAATTAAACCTAATTATTATTGTTATGATGTATTCTTTTGGTTTATTTGGCAAGTTTTATATGTGTAATTCAATGGACTCAAGGAAAAAAACTTTTCATCTCAGTTCATAATGTTTGTAACGAGTGTTATCTTTTAACCTTGAACATTTTCTTGACTTTTCTCTTTCCTTTGTGATTTTTAAACAAAAATTTATTCTCAAAGGGCAATCTCTGATTAGTCCAATTTAGCAGTGAGTAACTGTTGTTTACAAGAAGAGCTACTACAATGAGTTTGACTGGAACTGTGAATGATTCAACTGCTACAGATTCTCCTTGTGGCTTCCATGAGACTTATTGTGGAACTTCATATAACAACAGGTCCACTCATATTTGCATCAACTGTGACTTCAGCTATGATGATTCTTTTCTCTCTCTTGAAAGTGAAGAGTCCGAGTGGATCTCAGATTCAAAGTCTAATCATGGATTCTCATCTGAGAACCCTTCAACTCCACTAAGCTCCAATGGAATAATACAGTGTGTCAGATCAGAAGATAA